AGGCGGGGGGGAGGAGGGGAGATGAAAAAGAACAAACCAAACCCTCCTCCTCCTTCCCTGAGCCAGCGATACCCGGGGCGGGGGGCGCGGGCGGCCGCCTCTCTCTGCCCGCGGGCTGTGGCGTGAGCAGAAGCAAATTTCACCCTCTTTGCCCCGGGATGTCTCTCCCCGGCCCCTCTTTCCGAGTCCCAGCCCGGCTGATGTTATGCCGGGATGCTTCGGGCAGGGCAGGGCAGCTCCCGCCGCCCTCCCGTTTTGCCGCCGTAGGGAGCAGCTCCGGCCCCCGCGGGACCCCACCGAGAAATGACAGCCATCCCCAGTGCCCTGACAAGCACCCCAGAGCTCTGGGGGAGGAGAGACAGGTGTACTGGTGAAGAAAGGAACGCTGAATTGGTGTAAATAACTAAATTCCTACCGGAGGGGAAAAAGTAATGACATGGAGGGCTGCCCTAAGGAGCGATGCCTTGTGTGCCAGATGAACTCCTCAGTGCTGCCATGCAGGCAGGGAGAATTGGACACGTCCCTGCCCAAGTGGGTGCTCGGTGAGGATTGCAAACAAGGCTCTGACAGGGTGCCCTGATGCTGGTGCTGCTGCAGCACCCACTGGGATCCCCCATGGAACCACTCCCGTTAATAATTCCCTTGCTCTGCCTTCCAACACATGGCCCATCTTCCTGATGTCACCTTGTTCCACCCATTTTCATTATTCCTTCAGGCTCTGCTTCTCCATGAATCTCTCTTCTCAGATACTTTTGTGTGACCCAGGTCCTCCAACTGGCAAGACTCCAAAGCAAGGGAAGCCTTCCATCCTTCCAGGCCTTGGCATTTACACAGGAGGGACAAGGGAATTGTCCAAATGTGGACTCTTAAATGAAAAATAAGCACCTTCTCAGCTGGGCTAAATAAAATAAAATAAAACAAACTAAAATAAACACTACAGAAAATAAAATTACTTCTGTCTGCTGCATATGGGCTAAAACAGAAACATTTTCTGGTTCACGTGATCTGGAAGAACCTTGGCAGAGTTAGGGAAAGTGTCTGGTTTTAAGCAAAATTCTGTGTCTTCTCCACCAGTATCTGCTACCAAGAGAAGATTAAATCACCCCTGTAAAGCTGCATTTTCTTTCCATAAAAGTGTCTTGATTTTTGCTTGATTTTTTGTTTGTTTGTTTCTGGGTGGTTTTGGGTGGTTTTTTTAAGCAAATACCGTTGAGTGCTTTGGATTTTGCAGAAACAAAATAATTTTGGACTGGATCTTGGTAACTTAAGTTATGTAAAACACTGATGGGTTACCTGCTTCAAGTAAACCTTGTTTACCAAATGCAAGCTGTCCAAAATCTAGATTATTATAAGAGTATCTATTATACTTTTGGTTTTACCTATGAAATGCATTTTCTTTTCCACAGACCCAAGAATGATAAAGCCCTTTATTGGCTTTGCAGTAGAACTGCTACGGTGCACCAATTAAGTTTGCTGACAGGCCAGTGGTTTCACCAAAGATCCCTTAAGAAAGAAAATATGCTACTAAAGTACTAATACTAAATATTATCAAATTTTTAATTTGGATAATATCACTGGTAATGGAAAGAAGTTGTTTATTTGTCTAGAATATTTCTTTGCCATTCTAGGTTGTTTCTTGTTATAGTCATCACTGTTTCCTCAGCATTAGGATTTGGGTATTTTAGCCTTTTTCTTCTTATTTTTTGGGGGAAAGGGTTGCTCACTAACTTCAGAGGTAAGTCTTGGCAATTTTTAGAAAAGAGCATCTCTAAGCTTTTACTTGTCTTCAGTGGCATTTCTCCTACGAGGTACAGATTAGTAGTCTGAGTGTGGAATCTAGATGTGTTTTTTATGAGTTTGTAACTTGGAAAATATCTATGGGAAAGCACGGTACAGCTGATACTGGAATCATTGCCTTTGCAGCTTTGACCTTGGACTCCAACTGTGGGAATGTTTTGCTTATTATGGGAGGATGCTGCTTACACAGGGCTATAGACAAAGGAAATATTTGTAAATATAACTTTTATACCAAGTCTAAAATAGATTTTTTTTTTCCCCTGATGTGGCGACATTGATTGGTTGCAGGTGTTTTAATTTTCAAGGTGTTTCTCTTTCAAACAGGTCTCAAATGTAGATGCAATTATTCTGTTGTATAACAGAATTGCTGATTCTTCATTTTCTAAAAAAACTTACACAAAAAGTCTTTGTGTTAGATAATTATAACAAAATGTGTACCCCACGCTGGAACCAAAACTTGGTTTACTATTTACTGCCAGAAATCATATTTCTGTAGTTATAAGTGTACTTTCTTTTCTGACAAGTGCATGTAAACACTCATTTCTCTCATTCTAATTCTTAATGTATTCTGATATCTATGGAGTTTATTTTATTCCGGATAGATCATTTCTTTCCCAGATAAAACATTAATATAATATTTATTTGTGGTTTTCATGATGATATTTAGAAATTTGTACAGTCTCTATTTAAAATTCTGGGTTCTGCCTGTCCATAGCATTCAAGCTAAATTAACAAGAAAGCATTCTATTCACAACCAAAAGCAAAATCCCTCACAGAAACCTAACTGTTTGTTGGAAGATGCATGAAAACCATTTTAGAACAAAGTGGAAGTGCCTGGTTTCTGCTGGAAGGTCTGATGCTACATGGGTATTACCAAGCTCCTTGTGGTACAGTCATGAGTAGGTTTACAAGCTTCCAGACAAAGGATCACTTGTTTGTATTGTTTGGGGCTTTTTTTGATTGTTTTTGTTTTGGGTTGGTTTTGTGTGTGTGGTTACAGGGTTTTTTTAGCTCAGACAAAGCCTTGGATATGGAGGTGATAGAGTGCAGTCTTGGCAGCCTCACTCTCTCGTGTTGCTGCTCAGTGTCTCTGTATCACTCATCTGGTAGCACATTTGGTTCTTGGCCAGAGGGCAAGACTTCAGCTTCAGAGCAAGACCAAACAAGCATTTGTTTTTATGCCATCAGTGCTTCAGTGCACCATTAGCTCGAGAAAAGCCTTTTTTCCAGTGTAGAATTTGATCCCAATGTCCTATAAACACACACTATTCAATAAAGTGCTGCAAAATAAAATCTGATTTTAAGATCAGATGTAAAGCAGACTCAATTTGGTGATTAGCACAAGAGAAGTTAACTTTTCTCTACAGAAAAACAAAGTTTAATGTGAATATTGTGATAAGGATATGATAAGAAATATGTCTTTTGTAAAAGCAAATGCTTTATTAAAACAAGGTTTTGGAATTGAATTCTTTTGCTGCTTTTCATTCTTTTCTCACTGTGACTATCCATTTGTTAGACTGACCACCACTCACATTTCCCCTACTTTTTCTGGGGTGTTTTTTGAAATAAGTGGAGATGAAGGGAAGAGTAGTTCTCCTGTGTGCTGTACTACATACTCCTGATGGCACTATTGTCCTCCTCCTGGATGGGCAGTGGTTTCCTTAGGAGGAGCATCCTGAGAGCCTGAGCCAAAGACAGTTGAGGTGGACCCAGCTGATGCTGACCAGAACTTCCAGAGCTTTTTCAGTTTCCCTAAGCCTGTGATTTGACAGTGTGTCTGTATCCCACCACCAGCTCACCTAACAGTATGTGCTTGTTCTGAAGCAGGATGAGCATTTGGTGACATTTTTAAGGAATTAGCCAGAATATATAAAAATGAGTTTATCCCAGGTTTAGACCTTCCTGCAAGCTGCTTGAAGGCAGATGATGTTTAATCTGGTATAAACTGTATTGGTGCAAAATCAGCCTTTTAACATATTTTAAAGAAACCAGAACATGCAAAAGGGAATGTTGTTGTTGTTGTTTTTGTTGTTGTTGTTGCTGTTGCTGTTGTTGTTGTTGCTGTTGTTGTTGTTGTTGTTGTTGCCAGATCACTTCTTTGTAAAATGTGGCCATGGCAATTTGGAAACAGAAATAGCAAATCTGAATTTCAGTTTGCCCTTATTGGACCATGCACTTCACTGTCATATTTCCACTGGCAAATTTAAGGAGGTCTCACATACCTCAGGCCTGGCCTTTATTCTTGTACCCATATGATAATTTACCTTAGGTAGTGCTAGGTTATTCTGTTAGAGTTAGCTGGGTTTTGGGGCCAGCAAAACTAGGGAAAAAAGCAAACTTTTAAACTTTTTACAGTGAAAGGCACTCAGTTGTTTCCCATTAAGTGAAGATTAATTGATCTTTGTGGTCTGTCAAGAGCTGTGGGCCCCAACAATCCAAAACTGTACATTTACGTCCCTATTGGGGTTTCAGTGTTTAGATAAAAGTAATAATTTATTTTTTGGTCCAAAGTGTGTTCACAGGGCTCCCAAACATTTGTCAGTGTGGAGTGTTTCAGGGTGCAGTCCCATAAGCCCTCCTGAGCCAATCTAGCAGCTCACTGGAGCTGAGAGAGGTGACTCAGATGACACAGAAGTGTTGCTGTCACTGCTTTCCTTGAACCAGCTCTGGCACACACACGATTCTTTGGTGAACCAAAACTTCTTTCTATCCTGGTGGCATCTTTGTGACAGCTACTACAAGAAAAGTAGCAGAGAAATGAGATTCCCTGACTTGTGTTTTCCATGCTTTATTTTACCCAGTGTTACTTTTAATGTTTCTGCCACTCTTGAGAAGTCGGAACACTCATGATACAACAGAATTGTGCCTGGTATGTCAACAGAATAGCTTACACATCAAGAAAAAACAAACAAACCAACAAACATGAAGTATTCTGCTAATTGAACAGAACTGAATTCAGATGGGGCTAAAATGGGTGCCAGAGCAGGTGGAAAGGTGTGGTCTTACCACCCTTCCAGGAGAATGGGGAAAGGGCAAGAACTACTGCTGCAAACCAATATTCCACTCACCCACCAAGTGGAACTGCTCCTTCCGGAAGGTAAAGCCCTAAATCTTGAGAGCAGAAAACAATAGGTGATAGGAGAGGGCTTGTAGCAAGCTTTGGTTCTAAATTATTCTTTTAAATATCATGCAAAATTGATCTGTACTCTTGGTAATGGCGCTTGAATGAGGGAATTGTGTTATAAAATATTAGTGTAGAAATATCTTTCAGTTACTTACCTTGAAGAACACATTGCTGATACAGAATAACAGATGGGTAACAGGCAAAAAGCTCAATTAAGTTAGATACTGTTCAAGGTTGTGGCTTAAAGAATAAGACACATTCTAGCTCCACTGTGGCAGGAGGATACTATGTATCCATTACACCAATTTTTAGGTTTAAAGTTCTGTATATTACTGCAGCTTTTAAAATCCATACATCTTCCTATAGGTTTTAATTCAGACATACTTCATTCAAGTTGGGTATTTAAAAATACTGTCATCTGGTAAATCAGGATACAATTTCTCATCAGGATAAAGTTTGTGTTATGGTATTAAAATTATATTTCTTTCTTTTTTACTATTTGTCAAATATGTGTTTAAAAGGTACATATTTAATTTAAAGCTTCACCTATAATCTGTATCGCAAATATCTTCAAATAACTTCAGCAATTCCTTGCATTCTTTGCTTCAATAACCATTCACCAGGTTTCTAAATTTTCTACCCATTCTGTAACTGATTTTGTAGAATTTGGCATTCTGTTCTGCTGGCAGACAAGACAGACTGCATCTTCAGTTTTGTCAAAATAATCATGTTAGTTTACTCTCTTTAAAGAAAGGATTTTTCTAACCTAGCTGTTCTCAACATAAGTGGATTAGGGAGTGGCCCAGCAGTTCTGTTGGTACATTCAGTGAACTTGCAGTCATTGATAGCCCAAAGTGCAGTGGGAAGTGCCAACATCTTCATCTCTCCCAGAGGCATCCTTGGCTGGGCTGCAATGCAGACTTTGAGGCTGGGGGGAATCACCAGCTCCCCTTTCTGGCTCCCTGAGGACACTGTTAAACACAGAGCTGCTGGGGACTGAAGTGCAGGACACCATTCATCTCAGTTTGCAAACTCAGCCCAAGACATTAAAGCCCACCAGAGTACTGGTTGTTTATCCAGGCTTTTGCCACTCTTACTGTATAAAATTAGTACCGTGTTACTGCTTTCCAGATTCAGGTTATAAATTCCAGTCTCCTGATATTTCCCTACTAATTTAAAATCATAGGAATAATCCTTGTCAATACTCACCCCCTTTTTAATGAGTAAAACATATTTTATCTTGCAAACAACTTTCAAGCTAAAACTTTGAAAGTCCTTTTTCTTTTTAGACCTGTTTCTTAGATATCCTTTGTACCCATTGCAACACTTTTGCCTGTTTCTAAAAGCCTTTCCAGTGTGGACATCAGAACTTTACAAAGGGTTCCACTTGGGCTGCTCTCACCAGTGCCAGAGAGGGAGAGAGAGACATAGCAACTCTCCAATCCACACTCATTACTCTATGCTCCTACATTAAAGAATCATTAGTCTTTTGGGATCATAATTGCATATTGCCCTGGGAACTCACGTCAATCTGCTCCTCTTCTGTGACATCCTATATAGTTTTCTGATCTTCTTCCAACAACAGAGCTGTCTATTACCAGAGGTAGGATGTCTTTCTTGTTTGGTTCTGTGTCTGGCTGCATTATAATGTGTTCCATGAGAACAGGTCCAGCAATGCAAAGGAAGAACTTTTCTGGCCTTCATTACTTCTCCTCATCACCATTGAGCCTCATCTTCGTCCATGAATGCCTACATATCTCCTGAGCTGGACATGGAAATATTTACCTCGGTGTGTTTTGTTCACTGCAATTTTGTAAATTTCTTAAGTCACTTTTTGCTATTGCATACTGCTGATGTTTTAAATGGTATGTCATGGCCCTTGGAAAAATGCCTTCCCAGAATTCTAAAAAATGTTATATCTGAGTAGTTACCTTTGGCTTGACCTAGACAGAGTTGAATATTACAGTGCACTACTATAAAAATTTATTTAGGCTCCTCATAACTGAAAATTTTCATGTAATGTCTTATTTTAGAAAGATGCACACAGTATTTTATAACAATAAAATAAAAAAAATAAGAGAAAAAAATATGAGTTTGAATCTTCTGGTGCTTGTCATGTCTAAAGAATTGAGTGGTAAAAGTTGCATTTTTTTAGGTCCGCTTCAAACATTCTGAAACCTCTAAATACTGGGGTAGTAACACTTAAATCAAAAGCATAAATTTCACTGAAAAACTCAGACAAATCAAGGATCATATGCTATTTTAGAGTTAATTGTTCAATTAGGATGTAATAGGCAATCAATTTAATAATGTTTAGGTTGTTCTGCCTTGAATACTAACCAAGTAATAAAGGAAGTACATTGGAAGGTGATAGAGTGGCCATAAGATGTGACATAGAAAATAAACACGTAGAGGAAAACTTTAGCTTAGAAAACAAAGAAGAAATTTTGAAGTGATGAGAAATAAAGGAAAATGAAAAAGAACTGAAAACACATAAGGTTCTGCAGCAGTTAGAGATCTTTTAAGAATAGACAGAATTAAGGTAGTTGGTCCCATAGAAATAGGAAAGATTGATAAATAATTTTCCCTTTATTCTCATCAAATCATACTTCATGTAGATCTCTCTTTTTAGTGAAATTTCACCAAAATGTGATTATTTTGCTATTTCTTTACTTCCTCTATCATATAAAAACATGACTTTCTAGGTTTTGTCTCTGAAAATTTGGGTTCCTTAGAAGAGGCAGATTGCAAATTCCTTCTTTCACACTTTTGTCATTTATTTTGCTTACTTGTATGCATCATGCAAAGGGTTCACCTCAGAAAAAAAAGCCCACAATATCATCATTGATACTTCTTTATCTCTTTCTTACATCCAGGAACATACTCAGCTTAAATCTTTCACTTTTTTCACGGTCAAGTCTTCTCTTTACACCTGTAACACAGTAAATCACATCATTACCTTGTCCTTTTAATGTCAGAACTGCAGCAGCTCTGAGAATTGAAGCTGATTGTAGATAATAATATTTAAAATTTTCACCAATTATATGGGGGTTCGTAGAGTAAAACTATCATGTTTGCTTTTGATTTGAAATATGACTTTTTACTTTTTATTAACTATGTTCTAGCCTTACAATAAAAGTTTCCACATAAAGCATAGAAAACTTAATCTGACACTGTGTAGCTTCTTTTTAGTTCTCCTGAAGCAAAACTGTGTGTTTTCCTTTACCAAACTTGGCAAGATCTAGTGCTTTACATGCACAGATCCCAGAAGTTCCCTTTTTCTCCTATAAACCTCCTTCCCCTCCACTTCCAAAACCTTTGTCAGTTCAGGTCTTTTAAAAGTTTCGGTCATGGCCAGCCCAAATCTTTGACACTCTTTCCTGGTAAGGAAAAGGAAAGAGGGCTTAACTTGGAAGCAGGTTAAAAATGTGTAAAGGAGAGAGAGAAATTACCTTACTGTAACAGAAACTGGCTGAGTGAGTTTTTTCCAAGGTCCTGCTTACCAAAGGATATAAAGAACATGAGCCACTGCCACAGCAGATTTTGAACTTCATCCTGACTCCTGTCACTCTTCTCTGATCACTGGAATTACACCAGTGCTCAGGCCTATGCAGAACTGTGGTGCCTTGGACCATTCAAAGAAAGTCCTCCAAGGTTTTTTTTCCATTCCACAAAATTAAACAAGAGTAGTTTTGTTAAGTCTAGGAGAAATTGTAATGACCCAGCGGAAATGACAGTCACTGCCCAAGTCCTCTGGGCTGTCTGCGGTATCACCTTCATTCTAATGGTTACACTGAACCTGCAGTGGCTTCACATCTTCATTTTGATGAGTACAGATACTCTGAATAATTTGGATTTGTTCCCAGTGATAAATACAACTCCTGATGTTACGAAGTAACAGAAAAAGGAAATCCCATGTGTTCCCAGCATATGGAGCCTGTGCTGCTCTCTGAGACTGTAATTTGGGAAGGATGATATACTACTAAAAGAAAATTAATGGTGTTTTCCCAAAACATTTAAAACCTGAGGTGATGTTGCTGAAGCACCATCATTTCATGTCTCTGTTGCTGACACAGCTTGTGTAGAAACAATTTTAATAAAGTCATTACAGGGTCAATGGAAAATCTCTGTGCACATCTAAAGTATTTTGAGTGATTTATGTAAGCCCATGGATATTCATTATGATGATATTCTTTCATGTTTCCATTGACAGGCAGAGCAGTGTCATGGTAATGTCCAAAATAAATTATATCATCATAAAGCTGGACCTTAAATGCAACAGAATTAAATTTAAGGTAACTGTTAAAGTCCAACAATTAAGGAAGTTAAAGGACATATTTCAAATAGTAAATTGCCCTTCTCTGGCTAAGTGTTGCTATTCAGTAGGCTTTGTGACACAGAAACAGACATACCATCTGTAATCCGTGCTACAAGTGCAAGAAAGGGAATGTAGTGAGAGAGCCGATTCTAAATTCTCTCACCTTGCCTGGTTTATAGGTACTTTGTATCAATACCCTGTTTTCAATGCCAGATGACTCTGAGCACTTCAGTTTTCTGTATTAAGTGTTTGTTGCTGTCTGTAACCATCAAAAGATTCTTCAGTGAGGGCTCATGTGTGAGTATTCACGATTATCCCCAGCAAGGGAGCCACTGGCCCCAGTGACAATAAGGAGTGCTCAGGGATTATCACAATTGGCTGAAGAGGCTCAAAACCTCAAGGACAAGCAACAAAAATATGAAATTTTATTTGCCTGAGATTATTTATAATCAAAAACCAGAATTTTGAAGCAAAACAGCCAGTTTGTTCAAGCCAGCAATAAATTTTCCCCTGGGTTCAATGAGGCGAAGGTTCATCCCACATATTATGGATTTCCCAATTTATCCTTCCATCCACACCAGGCCTAGCATACACCTTCATTTTAAAATACTGCAGGCTATGTTCAATACAGTGTGTTCTTTTTGCTGAAGATACAAAACCAAACTGCAAACTTGGTTCTCTAATCAGCTGAAACAGAGGTCGGCCAATTTCCTCACCAATGAAGCACTGAGAAATGTGAGCAGCATTCACAAAGGTCTGAATCATGCTGGCTATTAAATGTTCTGGGTCAAAGTATCACTTGCAGAGAAATAGTGGAAACTAGCACAAAATGGAGTAGTCAGCATTTCTGGCTACTCTACCAACACTGGGAGCATTTACCTTTTTATCCATCACTGGTGATGTGCCAGAGCTTTTTACACCCAGTAAATAGTCCAGGGCAAAATAAATTCTGCAAAATTTCCCATTTCATTTCATTAACCTTGTTTCCTAATGTGATGGTTTTATGCAGGTGTCCATTCCCTAAAGCCCAAGTTATCCTCTGAAAATGCTTTTGTAGGCATTACAGGGCCCCTAACTGCAGGATCCAGTCATATCTGCAGTTTTCTCCAAAACATAGAAGATACTGAGACACAACTTTGCCACGTTTCTTGAAAGCATTCACTGCTCCTGGGGAATGGGGCCTGGGGAGAAGAAAAAATGCTTAGAAAATGCTGGATAGGAGGGCCCGTTCTTTCATAATCATCTAAAGCCATCAGAGTGGTGTTTTAGTTCTTAGTGATAAATGAGAACAAGCAGGAAGAAAATCAAGTGAAAGAGAAGATAATTTTCTTACGTTGAAACCTATCGTTATGATGAAACTAAGAGTATGATTAATATCCTCAAGGACACTATCTAGGGAAAAAAACCCAATATTTTGAGTCTCCAACTTAATACACACAATTTGCATGCTGTTATCCTAGATTTGTCTGCTAAAAAGGAGTGAAAGTTTCAGTGTTTTAATCCACTGATAAATAATGGGCTAACGAAAAGGGAGACTATTTTCCTCATTTAAAGTTGTACCTGCAGGAAAGCCTTGCTGTATATCCCATATCTACTATCAGGGCATGCAACAGCTCAGCCCAGTGATTTTGGTCAGTGAAACACTACAGCTTAACAGTCCTATGGTAAACTGATGAAAAAAAGGTACAAAAATAATGATTCTTGGAGTTGTGTATAGAGAAAGCATTGCTCTTTGCTTTAGAAGCTTAACAGTTGTTCAGCTGCTTCCTTGCAGACCAAGAGCTGTGCAGAGAGGAATGGAAACAACATGGGTAGCAACAAGCAGAGTAAAACTTGATAATTTGAAATAGAGTCAAAACATGTCTGCATTTTCATGCTAGGTAAGGCTGTTTGCTAATAGCAAAACTTTATTTTACACCTTATTCTATGCAAGAGTAGTGTGATTAATTTTTTTTAATTAAAAGGTAAATAATAGAAGTCTGTGATTTTATTTTTTTTTTAATTCCATTAAATTCAACCTTGAATGAATGATTTAGACTGAATACTTTTGTTGACTTTTTTCAGTAAAATGGTTCAGTTGTGCTCTAATTTAAATACTTTTGTGGTCATATGATCTTACACTCCTAGCCCTTTATTTTGGTGCTGAGAATTCAGTGTTTAACTCAGGGCAATGAAGAAAGTCCAGTTCAAGGAACAAACCAGCTTTTCTACTTTTCTTTGTTTGAGTCAAGAGAAAATAAGCTATTTCCCTAAATTTATATACAATAACTTTATAGCAAGTTTCATACCAGGGATGATACTAAATTTGCTTCAGAAATATATATTCATACATATTACCATATGGATGTGCTTTACTCATTCTGAAATAAAGCAGCTGCTTCTGAACACCATGGCAGGATTAATGAACTGAAAGTT